TCTGAAGATCGCAGTTGCTAGGGTTTAACTTACTTAACCCCCTGCGATAGCAGTCTCAGGCAGATAGCACTACAGGCAAAGACGACGGACTGGCCATTTCTGGCCCACTAGCCGCTGTGTGGTTGCTGGCTGCTACAAGGCAGAGTGGGACGAGTGAGTTCTGTTATCGGTCGGTGAACTTTAATAAACAAGTGTCAATATCTCCCGATTTAAACCGGCAAGACAATAAGCCCGTGGCTTAGCGGTTAGAGCCTTAGACTTCTGAGCAAAAGGTCGCGAGTTTGAGCCTCGGACGAGGTACCGTTTGGGACTGGGTATGACCGGCTGATGACGGCCAATAGGCCAGAAATAGCCATTCCAGTCGGCAATGCAAGGATAACATCTGCAGTATGAAAAATAAGAGTAGAAATGCGTGACGAACCCGGTGCATGCGACTCAGTGGAGAGGGCAAAATGCGCAAACATGTTGACCAGGATGAGAACCAAGGGGGGCGCAGGATCATGAAGGTCGGAGATCTCAATCAGAGCACGCAGCTCACTCTCCGACAGCGGGGCCGATGGATGAAGCCTGGAGCACCTGTTGCGCAAGGCAAAAAGAAGGCAAAACAGGGTAAGTACTCCGAGCACACCTCCAAAACAGAGGACTCTCAGCGAATGAAGTCAGGAAGGCGAACAGGAAAAAGCACACGTTGAAGCAACAACTCTCAGAGCACAAAAACAGCCTATTTGACAATTGAGCCGACTGAAAGGGTTACTCATCTCCCTCTACTGGCACCCCCCTCCCCTCCCCGAAAAGTACTTTTCACCAGACATCAGAAAGTACATCAAACAATGACCAGTGAAGACGCGTCATTAGAAGAAGAAAAAAAGACATAAAGCATGGGTTAGCGAGGAGAACCTGCACTCTGCTTGCAGATTATGATATGGCCTGGTGAAGCACCAGGCACTGAGACGGCTGGCTGGCTGGCTGGCAAGAAAGCCGCACTTTTAGGAATGTGAAGTGGGTGGGTGGGTGGAGCCCGATGAAGTACACACCTTGAAGAGCTCCTGAAGGGTCCTCACCTCGATCGCGCCAAAAGCATGCGATGCGGGGCAGAAGATTTGGCTGAAACAGCTCGCGCATGCCAGGCACGCTGATCTGCCCAGAAATCACGCAACACGCGCGCGCGCACGCACGCAACAAGCGAGCGTGCTCAAGGTCACGAAAGCGGGTCCGGGCGTTATTGGTATTGATTGATCAGTTTTCGGCTAATACAAGCGAACATGCGTGTCCCAGGAAGCAATTGAAAAGAAGAAGAAGACTCGATCGCTGGAAT